GATGATCTGGGAGCTGATGAACTGCTTGGTCTTGGTCCGGGTCATGCTCCGCTTTTAGGAATCGAAGATGGCTCTACAAAGAACGGGCAAGAAACCTCTCGAACGGAAAGGCTCGAGGATCAGGTCCGAGCAAAAGAGCTGAAGGACGCATCATCTTCATGGTCCTCTCCTACCGTAGTGACCACGCAGATCGCTATCCTCTTCTTCTTTGCAGTTTGTTGTGGATTGTTGTACATCGGAAGTCTGGAATATAGACGACAAAGTGCTGTTGAGATTAGCCAAATGGTAAAGGATATGGCCTGGCAGCCTGTACCTCATACCCATGTGTCGCCATCCATTCCATCAATTGGCGTGAAAAAGGTAACCTTTTCCGGGACAGCTCCTGACAAGCCGCTTACCAGTGAACAAGATCCCTTTTCAGAAGGTTCGAGCTCGGCCATCGATCAAAATGCCATTTCAAACACTACGTTGGGCGAAGCAAGTGTATCCGCCGCAACGAAAAGGCGAAGACGCGGAAAGAGAGCCGGCAATGCTGTTGCTCAACGTGAATCCAAAAAAGTGACAGAGAAGGAAGATGCGGTCGATGTTGAAAAAGATAGCGGAAGTGTGGATGGCAAAGAAAAGCATACCGCCGGTACGGGAGGCTCTGCGCTTCAAGAAGTAAGCAAGGGTAGCAGAGAAGAAGAAGAAAGCGTCCAAGTTGTCGAAAAGACAATTGCAAACGTTGCTGGCCCTGTCACCTTGGAAGCGGATGGAGGATCGAAAGTTGCTTTGAGCAACGGTTCGATGGGAGTCATTTGTGATCCGGTGAATCGATCATTGATCATCTCTGATGAGATTCTGGGATATGGCTCCTCCGGCACGATCGTTTTCAAGGGGAATTTCCAAGGTTGTGCAGTAGCTGTAAAGAGGCTATTGAGAGATTTCGTTGATGTTGTGTCCAAGGAGGTCTCGTTGTTGGAGTCTGCTGACAATCATGCAAACGTAATCCGATACTTTTACAAAGAGGTGACCGATTCATTCTTGTATATCGCCTTGGAATTGTGCCCTGCAAGTCTTGCCGAAGTTATTGAAAAGCCAAACGAGCATCAATCTTTGAGCGCCATTCTAAAACCGAAAAAAGCACTCTCGCAAATTGCTTCAGGTTTACAGCACCTTCACTCCCTTTCAATCGTTCATCGTGATATCAAGCCACAAAACATCTTGGTCTCACAAACTTCAAAAGGGGAATTGAAGATGCTCTTGTCAGATTTTGGGCTTTCGAAAAGGCTCGACGGAGTTGCACAAACGAGCTTCAGTCAAACAGTAAACAATCCCGGAGGAACTTTTGGCTGGCGTGCTCCAGAGATCTTGCGTGGTGATGTCAACCTAGATGCAGGTGCTGATACTTGCGATAGTACTTCGTCCTTCACTTCCGTAAGCGATCAAGAAAACGGTGGCGAGTCAAAGCGTTCAGAAGATCGGAAACGATTGACAAGAGCAGTCGACATTTTTGCATTAGGGTGCTTGATGTATTACGTTTTATCCAATGGCGATCATCCTTTTGGCTCACGCTTTGAGAGGGAGATGAACATCTTGCGACGATCGATAGATCTTCAACGTTTGGATGGATTGGGAGAAGAGGGACATGAAGCTCAACATTTGATCTGTGCAATGACCAAATATGAGCCTGAGCAAAGGCCAGATGCATTGAAGATTTTGTCGCATCCATACTTTTGGGATTCTCATCGTAGATTATCCTTCTTGCAGGACGCAAGTGATCGATTTGATATTATGGAGCGTGATCCTCCAGTCGCTTCCCTCGTCCTCGTGGCACTGGAGGCGAACGCAGTGGACATTGTTGGAAATGATTGGCATCGTCGATTGGATCGACAAGTGATGGAAGACTTGAACAAGAGAAGGAAGTATGACCCAAAAAGTATTGCCGCTCTCTTACGTGCAATTCGAAACAAGAAACATCACATACACGACCTGCCCCATAACGTGAAGAGACTCTTCACAATCGCAGGCGGTGGGACAGTGATGACTAGCATAGAAAGTGGTAATGCAAACTGCGGAATCGGGAATTCTGGCGCCAACATCACGTCACATCAAGTGCAATTGCTGCCGGATGGCTTCTTGGCCTACTTTACTTCAAGATTTCCCCGTCTGTTTCTACATACGTATGAAGTAGTGGATTCGTATCCGGTTCTGAAATCTGAATCTTCCTTCTTGCTGTACTTCAAACCTTTTTCCGATGAAATTTGACGACGGAAAGCAGAAACAAGTTGTCCTGATGTATTTGTATAGAGCAATGCATATTTTGTACCATACTCCTTTAGATCCTGTATGTGTACGCCTGGATTGTCGAGACGATCTGGTGTGAAAATCTTGTCATATGCGGCCTGGTTGGATATTCGCTCCCATATCACTGCATCTGACGAACGTTGGGTTGGGGAATCCGAAGCGAACTATCGTGAACAATGTCGAGATTCGAATCGATCGATTTGGCGAGCGAAGGCGTTCCATATCTATTACTGTATCGAGCTAGCTGTATGCTGTGAGGGAAAAGAAAGACAGAGAACTATCTATATAAATTCTCAATAAAGAGAACCCTCCACCATCTGTCGAACCTTTT